AAATAAAAAATATATTTGAAATTCCTAAATAAATAATAAATAATTCACAAATAAAAGACGTACCAAAATATACATTACATCCAATCAGATAAACGCAATTAAAAAAAAAAAAATCAACTCTTTTAATTGTAAATTTGGTCTGCAAAAAAGTGAAAGAAAAATAATTAATCATTATATGTACAGACTCACAATAATTTATTTATATCTGTGCAAATGCACAGATCGAATACTAGTATATATAAAGAGGAGCAACAAAGCATTAAATTATATTATCATGCATTAAATTTTATTCTCCCTCCAAAATTTTCAACATTCAATTTCATTTTTAAGTTACAAAATAACTTGCTTGAATGCCATAAATTATGAGCATAAACCAATCAAGGAAGTTATAAAATTGTACTCAAATTTTAAGTCACACCACTCATGAAAATGACCGGGTGTATTAGCATAAAGAAAATTATTTTAACGGCTCTTCCATAGCAATTACTTGATCAAAATCAATTCTGAGAATTATTTTCTTAATTCATATTTTTTTTTCATGAATTAAATTATAATTTATTTTTATTTTTATTTATATTGTTATATTTTTAAAGTATTCTTCTTTGTGCAAATGCACATGTTGATTACTAGTGTGTTTAATAGTTGGATAAAAGTGACATAGAGAAAAGGTTGATTAAAATTGGGATTGGGTATATTTTTATTTTAATTATTTGTTCATTGATTTACCAATGTATTTGAAAAATCAATTATTTAAATGTAAAGTGATGTGGTTTAAAGAATAATAATTAATGGTGATATGGTAGAGAAATAGTATAGTTATAAATTATAATGATAAAATATGAGCTAATGAATAAGGTTATGATTGGTAAAACTAGCTGATAAGCTAGTTGATAGATGATAAGTTAGCTTATAGTTTATTTGTAATTTTTTAGCTTATAGTTTATGACTTATAGCTGAAAAGCTAGCTTATATGATAAAAATGTTTAGTAAAATTAGCTGATAAACTAGTTGAAATAAAAAATTCAACTAGCTTATTTAAAAAGCTACCTAAAGTAGCTTATGAGATAAGCTCGAGCTTTTTAAAAAAGTTCGTCCTACCAAACGAAACTTATTTGAATACAGGGAGCTTATAAGCTGGCCAAATAAGCTATAAGCTAGCTTATTTGATTTACCAAACACAGTCTAATATGTTTCGTAAGCAAGTGTGCGGTAGTAATTGATTTTAATTTTAAAAATTTGTATTTAAAAATATAAATAGTGTATTTTTTTATTGATGAGGGAGGTGACGAGATAAATAAATATTGTATTTTTCCTAGTGAATAATTACTGAGCCAGGTCATGGGCGAAACTACATGTTCATCTAGGNCCCCTCAATTTATTTTTTTTTTACTATTATACTTAAAAATTTTAATTTGCGCACCTCTTAAATTATTTTTTGCACCCCTAAATTTTGTGCATGTCTTTTGCCCTCTTTCAATTAATTTTTTAGTTTCGCCCCTGGCCATGGCTTTGCCACCATTAAGGAAGTGGGGGAAGCCGAAAGAGTTCGGAGGAGTAGGAGAAGACAAGCATGGAGCTAGTGTCGAATCTAGATTGATTAGTGTTTAATTAAAACATTATAAAATAATAGAAATTCTGTAATATTTTTTTTTCTGAAGAGAAGTGTGTTCATAGAACCTCAGTAATAACATTCAGTGTTCAAAGGAACGAACCTTCATTATTCATTTAAGATTTTAAGTAGCAATTATTTTAAGCTTAGAACTTTTTAAAATTTATTAATTATAGTGAAATCATTAAAAATCTTAACAAAAGAACTTTTTAAAATTTATTAATTTTAGTGAAATCATTAAAAATCTTAACAAAATGTCAGATCCTGTGGTGGGATTTGATGCATGTAATTTGTATTTGAAATCTCATCAAATCTTAAAAAATCTCAATATTAAATAAATTAAAAATGACTCAATATGTTTAAATTTTTTTAAAATCCCAACTGAATATCTCAATACTTTTAAAAATATTTAAGAAAAACAATCCAATTTAAATACATTAAGATTTTTAAATTCTTAAAAATTCTTTAAAAATCCTAAACAAATATAAACAGAGCCTTGAGCTTCGCGGTACATTTGATATGCTTACGTTTCTGCCACTGGAGAGTGGAGAAAAAAGAAACGTGTAGACCGGTGGTGGGGGGAGGGTGATCGGTCTGACTTCCCCATACAATCCACGTATGAAATAGCCAAAATAATTAAATAAATAAATAGAACTTTTTGTATGGGACGTAAAGCTGTTAAATGAAACAAGCCACTTGTGAGTTCCGCTCGTTACGTCTCGAGTTCGGCTCAATACGTTTGATAAACAAGCCGAGCTCGAACTCGCTTAAAGCTCGTTTTCGAAAAAATATTTTTTGTGTAATTTCTATAGTCCAGCTCATTAAAGTCCGAGATCTGCTTGTTAATATTGACAAATGAATCGAGTTCGAGCTCGTTTTTTGGCTTGAGCTCAATTCGACTCGTTTATAACCGTAATTGAACGTCAATGTATTATGGCTCGTTAATTGACCCGGATTGATTCCTAGGTCGCCTGACCTCATTTAAAAAATATTTTTTGCTTGGGAATAATTTTTATATAGATAAAAGAAATCTTATATATAAATGTAGAGTTTCTCGAACCTACGTATCAACTTTGGGTGCTTTCCATACCTATATATCACTTCTTGATCTTCTAAATAATTGATGTAGACAATAAAATTTGAGTCAATTAAATAGTGACATGTCAAATTCTGTATTAAAATTAATATCATCATTTTCTATTTTATGTGAAAATTAATCAAGTTATATTTCTCAAATTAGATAGTTAATTAATTGACTATTTCATACATATTGTTGGCAGTTAAAGAATGACACGTGTGTATTGTTGGTCAATTAAAAAATGTCAAGTGTCATTTTGTTGAAAAATAATATAAATTATTATTTCTTTTATTAATTATTAATCAATAGATAAATATTGAAAAATTGATGTAATTATCTATTTTAAATAATCATTAAGGAGATAAATATTGGACATTTTGTAGAGTTCATAGTTAAAAGGAGTAAAATTATGTGTAACTTCATCCAAAGAGTCAAACTTGTCTCATGTCATAGAGCTTAGGCTAAGCATTTTTCATAATTTGTAATTATTAATAGGTACATAGGAAAACAGAGAATTAAACAAAGGTCTAATCATCCCAACATCCCATACACATTTAAAATTCTTTAGTTGAAAACAAAACAAAGGGCATCTATCTTAACACTTAAGTTAAAAACATCACCCAGAAAAAACAACTATAAAACCCTTAACCAGTCATTAGTCAAAATCCCACTTCACAAAACCTAAAGTCAAGAATCACCATTAAGACCTATCTTTTGCTTAGCCTTCAAGGATCGAGACCCCACGGGCCCGGCCCTTTTTTTGGCCTCCCGAGGCCCGCTTGGCCCGCCAACCGTCTTTGCCTCGGCTGGCCCAAGCCCATTATTGGCCAAGGGCAGAAACTCGTGACAGTCCTTAGCACCGGTTCTCGTGAATGCATTAATGAGAGTAATGATGAACCCGGTTAAGTTGGTCTTGAAAGTCCGGGAGCAGCAGCTCTTTTCGCCCTCATTCACTTCCTCGACACCACCACCACCTGGGACAAGGGACCCCACGTGGGCCCCACCCAAGTAGGCCTTGCACAAGACCATAATGTCACGCGCGCGGTTAACAAAGTGGCCCGACACCAAAGCTTCAAAGTGCTGCAGAAAACAACGTCGAGTATATATAATTGAAAGATTTATGCAATTTATTTAAAATTTTCATTTTTTTTATAGTTATGATTTTTTTTTTTTGAATTGCAAATATACTAGCTTTTACTTTATAGGCCACCATGAAAAACTTGTGTGGAGATTTCTTTTTTTCAAGCAACTCAAAAGGGGTCGATGGTTTTCTTATGTTTGGAAGTGTTTGTAATTTTATTTTTTTTTAAAGATACAGTATCATAAGCATGGAGCACCTCACATTATTTTAAAAAAACGAGCATTTTGTTGCATTCGCTCAAAGGTCGAGATAGAATTGTTCAAAAGAAAATTTATCTCAAATGGGTTCAATATGTGCCTTTTTGTCAACAGAATCAGGAAGTTCGATTTGTAATTTCAAATTATGAATGACTGTCAACAATGGCACAATAAAATGTAATACTTGATGGTGCCAAATTTACGTTTTTCTCAATGTGCGTGAAAAGTAGAACAAATAAGCTTTATCAACAATATTAGCCTATGTTTGGTAACCAAATAAGCTAGCTTATAGCTTATTTCGTTAGCTTATAAGCTTTCTGTATTCAAATAAGCTCCGTTTGGTAGGACGAGCTTTTTTAAAAAGCTCGAGCTTATCTCATAAGCTTCTTTGGGTATCTTTTCAAATAAGCTCGTTGAAATTTTTATTTCAACTAGCTTATCAGCTAATTTTACCAAACACTTTTATTATATAAGCTAGCTTTTCAACTATAAGTCATAAGCTATAAGTTATAAGCTCGAAAATCACTTATATCAGTATCAGCTAGCTTTACCAAACATAACATAGCTTTAGTATTATTATTCTGTTTTACCTTTGGAGGCCGGTTCATAGTGTACACCATAGTTCGCAGGGAAAAAATGAATGTGGTCTCATTATATTCCAAAGCCCTTGCATCTCCAGACTTGGTGCCACTCATTTTTGCATATCCAGGCTCGTTGAAGTAAGGTTTGGCATTCAGGATAAGCCCCTGGATTGATACCAAGACTTGCAGCATGGTCGAGACAGCTGGCAGCCACTTTTCTTCTTTGCCTCCACCCCAAGTGTTGAGGAGGCTCAGGCACACTTTACCGCAACAGTATAAGTTGGGATTTAGCCGAAGGCCACCCGAATGGTAATGGACTTTCTGCGCAACAATAATTAAAAAATATTACAAGTAAATTTAGACCGAATGTAAAAATCAACTGGAAAAGAATTTGCCAAGAAATTCGAATGTTTGTAAAGAATAACGTACGGGCGGGCTATTGGGATAATTGCGGGGGAAGCAAACATCGAAGAAAAAGAGGCCATCGTGATACGGTGTGCCCTCAGCCCCCACAATCACGGCTCTCAATAGATCCATTCTCGACTCGTAGACCCTCACAAATATTGTATCTGCTAGCAGTAAGATGAAAGTGAGAATGAGAATAAGAATGAAATTTGAGAGCATATGATTCTTTTATTGCGGAAATTGAAATTCTGTGTGGATGAATATATTTAGAATATTATTTAACCTACATGATAATTCAGAAAAGGAAATGTAATCGACAGTTGAGATCATTTTTTACATGAATAATACGTGAGAAAGGAGAAAGTTGAAACCAACAATCATTCATTAATAAATAGTTGAAACATGGAAATAGGTAAAAACAAGGCCATAATGTCTATTTATTCGCTTTGATCAATGTATCACCAAAGCTAGCATGCAGAAAAGTAATCCTAAAAGGGAAATTTGGTGCATAAAATATTTAAAAGGATGACCAGGCAAATCTTTCTCTAGAATCTTCCACTCTTGCTGTATTTTCTTGGCCCAGTTCTTCGGTGGATTCACCTGACATTAACAATTAGATAACAGAAGAAAACACTAATAAGAAAGGAATGCATCACAAAAACAACATGAAAAGAAACATTATAATAGATAACCATTTCAAATTCACGAGTTCGGGCTGCAAAAATCATTTTTCCCATTTCGTAAAACAGGAACAAATTCAACTTGGGTATTTGAAATTTTAAAAGCCGATCAACAGGAACAAAATCCTTGTTTAGAAGCACACACCTGATTCGAAATATTGGCAAAGTGGTGATCCGAATAATCCTCTACGGTATCAAATTTCTTAAACGCTTCAAAGTTCCTCTTAATCTCATCCAAATCCTTACAGACATCAGCAGGTGTCTCTACAATCTGATCATTCACAAAATCCTTTAACCTGGGCGCACGAGAACTTCCGAACTTAAAAAATCCCTTAGTAACAATCCCTTTAGTACTCGTACTCGAAGAAAGACCGAGCAAGGTAGAACTCGATTTTGACGACGATGCCCTCGTTTTTTTCTTCTTTCCTAAGTGACGCAGATCATCATTCTCGGGTGGGTTACCTGTTTTACATTTGCTGCCCACCTTGCTAACCTTTTTCGGATTCGAGCTAGTCGTGCTCAGATCAAGAATAAGACTTGGCACGTTCGAGTCAATTTTCAGACTCGAATTATTTGAAGTATTAATTGTACTGTTTTGAGGAGAGCTGGATTGCAGCCAGGGAAAGGAGACTTCGACACCTGGCGGTAAGTCCATGTGATCGAACTGTGATTGCAAAGCCTCGTCCGAATGGTCATCAAATGTTATGTCGTCATAGTACGAGTCTATCCAATCATCCTCTCCAAAAAACATATTAGAGTCGGATTCATCTGAATCGGTGATCTCGATCTTGATTTTTGTGTTACTGAAGTCTGCTGAAATATTGGATGCGATTTCCTAAATGTGTGAGGGGAACAAATATAATCAACTATGGCAGCACAAATATAATCAAGAAAACGGCTTGAAAATGTCACAAAAGATAGTTAGATATAATATACCTTTCCTTTGCCTTTTACGTCAGCTTGACCATTATTATCTTGACAGTCTTCTTCTACATCGATGTCTATTATTTCAGAAAAATCAGCAACCTTCAAAAAGATCCGGTAGATTAGAGGTTATGAAGCGTTTTAAATGGCAAATCTTTCAGATAATAGTTACAAGATTTGGGAAGGCTAAAATGGAATGGCAGTAGAGAACAAGTAAATTCTTTTGTAATACAAGCAACCTTTTACACGTGCTATGCTACGTGAATCGTTTCATTATAAATGCATGAATGGTAAATATGCACAAAATCATAACTTTTTTCGCCCCATTCGGTAACTATGCCACGAATTACTGAGTTGGTAAGATTTCCAACTAAAATATGTAATAGACATGCAACGACAATTTTATGAAGGACTCGAGTTACAAAAAGTACGTGATCTGCATGACACGTCTCCCACAACCGATAACGTAAAAGTCACGATAATTTGTCATCAAGATACAGGACTTAAAAGTCAATTTAAAATGATATAATTAGAAAACAAACAAACAAACGCCGCAATAATGGCGCCCAAAATTCACTACATTCAAAACACGTGGAGTCATGAACATTCGCAATACCAATTTAAAAGGATTAGAATCTGACCTGATCACGACAAATTCATCCTCATTTAAACTCACCTTGTTTTAGTCCCTAGATTCTCGTTCTTCACCAATCACAAATGTCATCTCTTTTAAAAACCATTGGTGTTCTCAATTACAAACAAACATAAATAAACTTAGATACTTTCACTCACAATATACCCATACAATCCAGTTTAACCACAGCAATTCTTTTCCACTATCAAAATGCTCACACTGTCACACATCTGCTTTACCAGTACAAACAAAAAACATCCATACAGGAAAACAAAAAATGAAAATTGAAAAAAAATAAAAAAATAAAAAAACGTTAACTATAATAAACAGCTGAAACTTAAGAAAAACATGCTACATTCATCAAATCAACCATGCCCAGATTCAGCAACCACACCAAAACAGTTAAAATAACAGAAAACAGTACACAGATCCATATGTTTCCATTTCTAGAAAAACATGAAAGGGTGAAAACATGAACCTCTTCACGCTCAGAGGAAGCAGCAATTCTTTTACCGGACGGCGCCGTTCCCAAACCATCCACCTCTTTAATCCCCGACGACGAGCTTCCACCGGGAAAAACCCTTTTCCTGAACAACCATATATCGTCATCATCAAGGAGAAACAAACGCCGCGTAAAAGCAAAAGCAAAAAAAAAAAAAATGAAAACAAAGGGATCGAAGCTCACTTCGAATTCAGGGTGATGAGCTCAGAACCCCGCGTGGGCGACTCCATTTAACCTGCACTCCCTAAAAAAAAGAAAGAATTGAATCTAGGGTTCTACTAGAAAAATTGGGTCCCAACAAAAATCACCATCCTTAAAATTGATTAGCTCTGTTTTCTTGTTTTCTTCGTATTGAATCAAAAACACATTGACACATACACACACACAAATTTACCTTCCTCAGAATCACCGTCCTCGTCGTGGTCTTCTGTGTGTAAAGATGGTGAAGATAGATACAATTCTAGATATTTATACACAAAACAAAAGATTATCCGCAAAAATGGAAACTTTGTGCCGTTCTATGGGAAAAAGACTCTCTTTGGTAAAGAGAGAAACTGAGAAACAGAAAGAAGTGCGTTTCTATTTGTGCTTTCGTAGGTTGAATTTTGCGGCAGTTTGTGCAGTGGAAATACCCTTGATTTTGGCGTATTTTACATTTGTGCCACTGAAAAAAGTATACAGTGTGGACAGCTGTCGGCCCCACCTCCGCATGAAAGCCACGTATGAAATAATCAAACGTCATTTGCAACTTTTTATTTTTTATTTTCTTAATCGAAAACTGGATTACAAAGTAAAACCTCCTTGTTTTGCCTAAATTAGTACAATATGTGAAAAAGTTGGAATATCCTAAATCAATAATCACAAAGTAAATTACCTTTTTGGGGAAAAATCTGCAAATATAGATATAAACAAAATGATAATAATTATAATTTGATAGATAATTAATGAAATAATGGTTAGTAATAATGTATATCTGAGTTGATGAATATTTAAATTTATAGATAAATTATAAATATATGATTTGGGAACGATTTATGGTATCAAATAGTCCATTCAATGGCATTTCATCAGGATTTTTATAATAACTGAGTTTTGAATTAAAATTACAATTAAAAAGGAATCCAAACAAATGGATTAATATTTTTTCATCACACCCTAATCCAATTATCCAAATATGCTACTACAACTTTTATTACCTATTTATTTTAATTAGTTTAAACTTTGTCTTATGATTACATATAGAAAGACCAACAAAGACTTTTCCTTCAATGATTTGCCAACTTTTGTGGTTTTATGGAAATTTGTGGGATCCCAAACTCCAATAGAATATGACTAATAGAAGCTATTGGCAATGTGACGCACAAGCAATTCTTGTGTTTTCTTCTCTCTTTTACCCCCACCAAATATTTTTGTCTCGTAGTAGCTATGTTGGTTGGTCTCATCAATACATCTTTTAGGTTTTGCATGTTGGTACAATAGGATTTGTTGTGTTATAAATTGAGCTAGAACTTTTCATATTTGAATTAAAGGTGTGGTTGTAGAGCAGCAAATGAGTCGAGCTGAGTCGAACATTGGCTTTATCGAGCAGGATTAATTTTTTTTTTTTAGCTGTTCGAGCTCGTCGAGCTCGATTTTCTAGGCTCGAGCTCGACTCGATATAAAAATACAATAGCTCGAGCTCCGAGCTCGGCTCGAATTTAAGATGCTCGAGCTCGGCTTGAGTTCGGTCTGAAAATTTTCAAACAACTTTGTCAAATTATATATCTATATATATATAATAAGAATTAACATTTACCAAAAATAGTAGCAGAAAAATCTATCAGAATTTAATGCAGCCTATAGATAGTAACTTTTATTATTTTTCTTATTTTTTTCTTTAAAAATCATACAACATTAAATGCTGCCTTAAATTTCGAGTTTTAGTTCATTTTATTATTTAAAAATTTTAGCTAAGATTTATTAAATGTGTATGTTTTTATTTTTATTTTTTTCTTAGAAACAACAAACAACATTAAAATCTCGGTCTCTATATTTATAAAATCTCAATTCAAAATATAACAAAAGTTTTAGAATCTTGGTTTTTATATTTGTGCCTTTAAAAAAATATTGAACGCTAAAATGTTCTTTAAATTGCATAATTATTCAACTAATCTTAATTTTTTTAAACTTACTATGTTTATTTTTTATTAATATGCATAAAGTAAAAATAATTAATTCACCTTTAGATATATAATTTTAAATCTTAATATACTATCATTTGGTGTAGACATTTATTATATAAATCATAAAATATTTTTATTTCATAAAATTAAATATATTTAAAGAAAATAAAAAAAATTGGATCAATCGGGTGATTGAATTAGGGTACTGCCTGGTTGATTGAATTACTTTTAGGTGATATTTAAAATAGTAAAAAAATTGACACAACTTGGTTGATCCCAGGTGACGAAGTTATGTATCAGTTCGACCACACCAAATCGATTATTGAACCTAAATAAAAGTTTTATATTGAAAATATTTTATTACGTGAATGTGATATAGTCCAAACTTTAAATAATCGTATTAACAATACTTTTATGACAACATGTCTAATGATTTATGAATATTTATATATCATTTTATTAATATCTATGTGAATTAAACAATATTTATTAATGTACAGTAAATATAAGGTTTTCAGAACTGGACCGTCATCGAAACGATCAAGCTATTTTATTAAATCATTTGTGGTTTGTTCAGATTTTAATTTATAAGCATTTTCATATATATAGTACTTTTTGTAATAAATTTAAATAAAATGTGTTACTTAGATATCTAAAAAATTTATAAATTCAAATGTTTAAACTAATTGATAAATAATTTATAAATCGCTATTTTATTTAAATATTTAACTTTATTTAAAATAATTTTAAATATAACAAAATTTATTTAGAAAATCGTATCGATCCTACCAGTCCAACCGATTGGTGTTGATGGATTCGAGAGCAAATATTTTATTCAAGAGAACTAGACTGGTTATAAACCGGTTCTCGGCAAATTCGGTCAGACTATGTCCAACCCGGTTTAATTTAAATACAATGGATAAATCATGATTAATGTTATTTATATATTTAATTTATAATACAATCGTAATATTGTTTTCCCGTGCATCGCACGGGCCACGCGCTAGTATATATATATACAAGGGGTATTTTAGTAATTTACCATACATCTCGAGTTGCTCGTGAGCTGCTTGACAATGTAAAATATGGGCTCGAGCTCGACTCAAGTTCGTGCTCGAGCCGCTCGAGTTCGGTCAAACTCGAACTCGAGTCGAGCTTTGACTCGAGCGTTCACGAGCGGCTCACGAGCCGCTTGACTCGTGTGCAGCCCTAGTGTGGTTGGATGTAAATATTTTGGGTTTGATATATTTATTGGCTAGAGTGAATTATTTTAAATAAAGTTGATTAAATGGATAATTGAGTAGATTTTGAGTCTATATTTAAATAATATTTAAAAAGCAACTATTAAAATTGATATGATGTAAAAGTAGAAGATAAACAGTTGTAAGTAGTGGGTAACTAAAGAAATTAAAATATATGAGTAGATGAATGATCAATTAAAATTGAACTGATGTGTGAGGATGATTGGTTAATAATAATTATTTATTATGATAATATTGAGGAGAGTCGAGTTGGATAAAATTGAGTTGAATTTAAAAATTATTGAATCTGTACAAATTGGATAATTTCTATAGTCAACCGCCTCCTAAATGATCTAGAAGTTAGCTCGATTATTAATAGTATAGACTCAAAATTGAGGCTTAACAATCACTGATATTAAAAATTTACATAAAATTCATATTTTCAAGTATTAATAAATTTTAAGTGAGTTCAAGTTTGACTTGTTTGATAAATAAAATGAGTCGATGTTTACGAACAACTCATTTCATTTAATAGTTATACTATATGACATCTTACATAGCTTAGGACCTTATCTACAACCATAAGATTTAATAGTGATGGAAGAAAAAGTAAAAGACTTGCATAAGATAAAGAACAAAATTTTTAGTAGACTTGTTGCAAATTTATCCGTTATATAGCTTAAAAGCAACCTGAGAGCTCAGTCTTTTTTCCTTAATCATCAAAATATTAAGTGATTATTTATTTATTTTTATTTTTTATTTTTTGTAAAACACTTCAATTTCTTTATACACATAAAATAGCTTTTCCAGGGTAGGATGGGCTTTTTCTTACTTTTGGTTGGTATGTATCATAGCCCATCCTATATATGGGCTTAATAAGGACTGCTACATACCAATTCAGATAAAGGCCCAAGCTCAACATCCAATAAAGCCCACTCATATCCTTTAGCCCAATCTTGTATAGTTTTTAACAATAATAACAACAACAATCTAATCCATAATGGATAAGAATAATAAGAAAGGCATCTATCCATCATGAAATAAATTTATTTTAATGCCAGATTATAGCTTAATCAGTGTTTCTTATTTCTTAACCATAAAAACAAATATATCGTTCGAATTATTTTTTAGAGTGGAAATTTGTTCTCTCACTTTTTATCTCTTTCACTGAACATATTTTATATTAAAAAAAAACATTTAAGTTACTCCATATAT